CTTTACAGGACGTCGCAGAACCAACCCCATAATTTTGTTTAGCTGTTGTGGTTTTTCTAGGTAAAGTTTAAGTCCTGTACTTGTTTACTATGTCAGCAAATTATCGGTTCATTGAAAAGAAGAGAATTATGAGACACAAGCCATAACCCAAGTATTGCAAAACAAGTGATATTGAATCAGTACTTACAATTTGCTTGTTGCTTGGTTTCTGGAGTAGATTCCGTTGTCCACGGCCGCAGTGACCGCAACAATTAGAACAGGTACACCTGTGTACACGCAGACAACAAGTGAAGCTACACACTGAATTTGTATTTCCAGTCTATGTATGTAAGGAAAAGAAAGAGAATAACACTGTTCTTTATCCACATAATGAGAAGAAAGACATTGAAGAACATAGTGACGACTGGAAAGATCAGTGATAAAAAGGGACTGAGGCAGACCAAGAGAGACGATACTGGATGGGCTGAAACTATGGCATGGAGGGATATCATCAAGAGAGCTGTTCCAGGCAACCAGGGATCGTGATTTGTGGTGACGCATGAGCGTCTCGCCAGTTGGCACAGCAGATGATGACGATGATGCTGCTGATGATGTATGTAAGGAGATGACGCTGTATAGCCGGTACACGGGGCCAGACTTTTCTTTTTTTTTTAAATGACATTGGATTCCAGGTCCCAGGTATTTTCAAATACAAAGTCCACATAAGATTTTTAATTGCAGTGCAGGAAGTAAATTGTCACCCTAGCATTGCATACATGTTATGGAAGCCGGGGATGTCCTGAAGAAGTCCCAACCTGGCTCTGCTCCTCTCCCTAACCAGGCGTTCTATGCTTGCCGCTGCATATCCGGCAAACCCTCAGCCATTCAGCTCATCGGCACGTAGTTCCACCGTAGCCTTAGGTTTAAACAAAAAAAAAAATTGTTGAGAATGTCTACTCTAGATCCGTTGTGTTTTATGCCTCTCCGATCACTTACAAGAATCATATATGTAGAATTGTTTTCCTAATCAAGGGAATTAGATCTGAGTCCTCCCCGTGTGGGTTCCGGGGCCCTATTATAGGGAAAACAAGAATAGACCCACTGCCTACCCAAAAGAGTCAACTAATAAGGAGCTTTCTTTGAAGTCGGAGGGCATCTGTCTGAGAGGCAAGGAACTAACAGTCTGCATACAGATTAGTCAGTCTGTCAAACAGATGCACACGAAACACTCAGGTTCTGGAACAGAACTGCAGTCCAGAAGTGGACGAACATCCATAACTTTCCGCTGGAGTTTACAGCTGGTAAACGCGAAGAAGAAGAAGAAGAAGAAGAAGAAGAAGAAGAAGAAGAAGAAGAAGAAGAAGAAGAAGAAGAAGAAGAAGAAGAAGAAGAAGAAGAAGAAGAAGAAGAAGAAGAAGAAGAAGCAGAAGATCTGAGTCCACCTCTTTCACCCTTTGATTACGAGTACTCACAAGGCTACATGCAACCAGACATCTACAGTCCTGCTCTTTACTAGGACATGACACAAACATCAGACAACAGAACAAAACAAACTAAAATATCATATCTCAGATAGACCAAGTCACAACCTTTTCTCAGACAAACACAAAAGCTCCCAAAATACACACATGTCTAAGAGCTACCCAAATATAAAAAGTTCAAAGAATGCCTTAGAAGAGCTTCATGAGTTTCAAGGAAAGACAGAATACGAAATCATGAAATCAGACAAATGCTAGGAATAAAGCCAGTCTTACCAGTCATCAAAGAACAAAAAATGAAGTGGTTTGGACACCTAACAAGAAAGCCCTGGTACTATCTGCCACAGCGAGCCACACTAAAACGTTACAACGGGTATAGAGCTAGTAGAAGACCTCGGAAAACATGGAGTGATGGCATTGAGAACAGCCTTACAGAAATGAACACCAGTCTTAATAGTGCTATTGACAGAGCTCATCAACGAACATTAATCTCCCCCCGACACTTCGATGAGGTACAAGGTGGAAGAGAAGAAGAAGAAGAAGAAGAAGAAGAAGAAGAAGAAGAAGAAGAAGAAGAAGAAGAAGAAGAAGAAGAAGAAGAAGAAGAAGAAGAAGAAGAAGAAGAAGAAGAAGAAGAAGAAGAAGAAGAAGAAGAAGAAGAAGAAGAAGAAGAAGAAGATAAAGAAGAAGAAGAAAGAAAGAAGAAGGAAGCTCACCCCAAGCTACCAGGCATCGCTTCAGCAGATGAAACCGCTGGTACGTGATGAAGACGATGACAAGCGCCTGGTAGATTCCAACAGCCTCCACCAACATCCACATCAGGGAGGCAAGCACAAGGTAATGCAGCAGCACTCCCACCACTATACACCCGCCATCGCTGCAAAGTCTTACAATGTGAGGCCAAACAAAGAAGATAATATGTAGCTGTGTGCGTGTGTGTGTGTGTGTGTGTGTGTGTGTGTGCGGGTATATTTATAAATATGAATACGAATAGTGTATAGTGTATAAAATATACCTAAAAAAAAAACATGCGTTTATAATGT